ATTAATGATGCGAAAAGGATGAGATGACTCTAAACTTCAGGCCAAAGCCACTAGATGAGGCCAGAGTGCTGCCATCGAAGCCAATTATGGCTCCAGCTGAAAGACCACGCTCGACAAGCTGATCATCGACGTACGATTGCCAACTCATTTTCGTACAATTGGGTATTTAATTTCAATCTGAATTTACAACAAGAAAACCACTTGTTCGCATAATGAAATGTAGATTAAGGCAAATTTAGAATTATTCATAGGTATATATGTATGCAGATACTACGCTATTTTTGGAAGGGAAAACTAGGGAATTTCTAAAGTATTCATATGAATATATATTTACTTACAAGTGGCCAAAAGAAACGAGAACATATTCATATATAGCCACGTAAATAGTACTAAAGACCCGCCAAGAGTCCCTTGGCCACCGATCTTAATAAACGAGGAGCGTATACCTACATATTCGAAGTACTTACAGCTCATATTTCATGACAATGCACGATAACCAGTGCTGCATTTATGTAATGTTTCTCATGGCATAAGTAGTTTGTGTAACTCATGGCCACATGTGGTTGCTAGTGAAGACCATCACATTGAATAAATGCAGCACTTGTTCTCGTACGATTTCATAGCATACGAGTTGCATGAGCTTCCAGGACAACTGGATATTACAATAGATCATTCTCTAAATTCATGAAACGTTACGCCCTGAAGGTAGAGGGATGAAGTTTGCATGTGATTGGGTAATAATCACTCAGTCAAAACTCTCGATAACATGAGAAAGACTGTTGGCTACCTATGATTAGTAGTATGTGGGTATATTTTTCTTTGTAATATGAGCCTTTTTCTGGTTGTTCTGCCCGGAAAGAGACTAATTTACTTAGACACCTTAGACCATTGTGTTCGGGAAAAATCAAGCTTCTTTTTTTTGTGTAAAATTCAGTTTTAAACTAGTGAAACAAGACATAATCTATATTCAACGAAAATCTTAAAAATCGAAGTTTCTTCTTTGTCAGAGTCAATCAAAACTCCACAAACAGTTCACACTATGAATGGACTAGTTCCAGTCCCACCAACCTCTATTTCTGGCATGGGTGGGAATCAATTGGCATCGGAAAAAATCCGAAGCGCATGAAAACACACTTAAACTAACACTATTGAAATCTCGCTAATTTTCTAGGAGAACACAATTCAGCCGCTGCGTTTTCAACGTTTTACAGAGAGTTCCCGTATATGGAGAACACGAATCTACAATCAGATTCGAAAAATTCTAAAATGACTTTAAATGAAACTCGAGACAATACAACGATAAATGGGTTGAATTATTACGAGGCTCCATGAAACGTTTTAGCAGTCGAGAAATCTAAATCAGAAGTCTAATTGTAGGACACACTTCTAGGTACATAAAATTTTTTCAAATCTAATTGCAGATTCGAATTCTTTGACCTCGCAAAGCATTTGTAAAAACTTGAAAGCACAGTGCCCGAATCTCATTGTCCAAGAAAATTAGCGAAAATTCACCAATTTTAGTTGAAGTCGATTCCATTTTTTTCCAATTCTAATTGTAATCAACTCCCGAAATCGAAATCGGTATTAGGTAATTCAACATGAATTCAACCATGCCATACCGAAGTGATGATTGGTTTTGATGAAGATTTCAGGGTTTGTAAAGTTTTTAATTCTAAGACTTCATAAAAAACTTTGTTCAAAAAGCTTTTGTTTTCACCCAGATACGCCCAAAATACTGAAAATAGGAGAAATCGAAATATACTGAAAACCACTTTTTTACTTAAATTATTTAAAAATAGTTTTCGTCATGTTTTCACACTAAGCCAAGGTTAAAAGAAAACCAAGGATATATTCAGATTTCTCATGAAAAGCTGAATCTAACCACACTAAATATGTCCTAAGTTTAGAAGAAAACCCACTCCGAAATATGATGTTAATCGTACATCTGTTGGATGTGGGTGTGCTGGCGATCCTTTCTTCAAACCCACACCCACGCCCTGATTTTCACGCAAGTATATTGCACGACAAGATCTGGAGGGGGGGGGGGGGGGGGGTACGGGAATTTTCGAAAAAAAATATTTTCTATTCTGAAAGGATATATTTATGGAAAGTAATAGAGAGTTAGATACTGATACATTTTGTATGCAATTTATTTTAAACAATTAAATTCTTCCAATAATTTCATAACGAAGTTGTGTACATCTTCCTATAGAAAAATGCTCACGATAGTGGGCTCCGAAATAATTTAATATTTCGAGAATGGAACGTTACTTTTTCAAACGGTTTGCATCAAATTTGTTACAATTAAAAGCTCTGCAAACCCTCAAAATTTCATCGCAGTTGGAAGTACTTAGGTATAAAAATTATGGGATTTACCTCTAAAAACCTATGTTAGAAGTGTACAAAAATGTAATATTTTTCGAAGTTGATCGTTTATTTTACCTTTGGTAAAGACGCTGAAAATTCTGTGTCATTAGGATTGTATCGCAGGTGAAGCTCTATCGAATATACTATACCACCATATCGAGCAAGTCCACTTTTTCAAAAATCCTGAGCATAAGAATGCTCTGAAAAGTACTAAAGGTTTTACGGTTAACATCATATTTCGGAGTGGGTTTTCTTCTAAACTTAGGATATATTTAGTACGGCTAGATCCAACTTTTAACGAGGAATCTGAATATATCCTTGGATTTCTTTTTAACCTTGGTTTAGTTTGAAAACATGACGAAAACTATTTTTAAATAATTTAAGTAAAAAAGTGGTTTTCAGTATACTTCGATTTCTCCTATTTTCAGTATTTTGGGCGTATCTGGGTGAAAACAAAAGCTTTTTGAACAAAGTTTGTTATGAAGTCTTAGAATTAAAAGCTTTACAAACCTTGACATCGTCATCAAAACCAGTCATCACTTCGGTATGGCATGGTTGAATTCATGTTGAATGTCGCTATCAGGACTGGAACACTCATAATTCGAACATACATCTCTCGAATATAAACATAATTGTAACAATTAACGTAGCATGAAAGTTGGTGCTTATCCTCAATTGAAATGGCTACGATTCCTTTTCTGTCTGTTGTTTATCCGTACTCTTGTGTACTTTCATCTCGTTCTTCTTCTATATCTACTTTGCAATCGCATTATTAATTTGGCATTCTCTCGTACATAGTGTTATCCATATAAGGAATAACCATAATGTCTTTTTCTATTTGTTATATTTATCTCGTTCTTCTCTTACATGTACTTTGGTATCGGACGCTCGACGTGTCCTTCTCTTGTACATAGCATTACCCATAATTGTAGCCTAATGTTTGCTCTTCTCTGAATCTGTCCTTATACCCCATATTTTTCTGTTATTGTGGTTACTTTATTTTATAAGGTCCTTCTATGCTGGGAAATAGTATATAAGGAAGGAGAAAAATACAGTATGGTTGCGATTTTGATTATACTCATAATCCTTTGACGACCTGCGGGTCATATTTGTCTCATCTGTTTCTGAGTAGAGAAAAAAGTGTTTAGTTCACATTTAACTATTAAATATGTAAGGTCATAAACAACTGTATTTGTCATCTCATACTTTTCTTTTCTTTCTCTCCTTCTCTCATATATATATTCTTTCCAAATATTCTTTGTTCTTGCTGGTCTATGCTCCGGCCGTGAATGACTAAGTCGTGGAAGACAGTCTCCTTTTGAAAAGAAGTCTAAACTAGCATCATCAAAAGCTGTCCTTAATTTTGACAATGAAATGCATTTGTCTGTGAAAGAAACAAGCAAAACAATATGTGCTTATTTTGAGTACTAAAGACACAGAAGTACCATCCAACATGGAGCGCTTTACTGACCAATTGCCATGATTTGTTTAAAAGCTGTAAAAAATTGTTTTTTTGATTTTCGTTAGATTTTTACGTAGTCATTTTGAATTAAAATAAAATAAAAAAGTTGAAAAATTTTTTTTCGATTAAAACTTCGGTCCTCAAAGGGTTAAAGTATTAGAATACTAGCTCTTAAACAGTGCCTATTATGTCTGAAATTGTCACAATAATCAGAAAACGACCAGCACAAGCAAGTACGCAGTCGTGGTATTGGAAACAACTTCGAAGTTATGAATTTTATTCGAATTAGCAGTGCGGGCGTGAGTGTAGGTGTGGGTGTGGGTATAAGAGGAGATAACACCCGCCCACATCCACACCAACACCGACGCTCCTACCCTCACACTCACCCCCACATTCACACCCTCTTTCGAATCTTTTATTAACTGCAAATGGTATTCAAGACGTCATGCCATTCATAATAGTATTTGAATTTGTTGATGATTGTAAAGAAGTTGTTGTTGTTAAAGGTTTTTCGGATGGATCTTGAATTTGTGAACGAATTGTTCTTGAAGTTGATGAAGATGATGTTGGAGATGTTGGTGATAAATTAGTTAATGATTCTTTAGTTGTTGTTGTTGATGATGGATTATGTTCAAATCGAGATATAAGATCACGTGAACCATTTAAATTTTCAGTATTTGTTGTTGATTGTTGAGCGTTATCGTGTAATTTTTGATCGTCTGATCTATGTGAATCTTCAATAGATGTTTGTTGATAAGATGTTTTCGGAACTAAATCATTTGAATCATCACGAATTTCAACTTCTTTTGTTTTCATAAAAGAAAAAAATCTTTTTCTTATCAATGAAACAAACAAACTATCAAACATGCGTCGTTCCAAATAGTTCTTTCTGTATTTGTTCTTTGATTATGTACACAATTAGTCCGACGTCGTGGTTGTTGTTGAGAATCTAACGAACTGCTAACACCAAGATTCAATGAATCATTAGCTGTGATTGATGGGACAATATCTATTCAAATACAAAACATGATTAATAGACTAGTTTTTTTTCTTACTGTCAATATCAACAGATGTAAATCTTGATCGTATTCAATGTGATCCACCAGATGAAGAAGATACGTCAACAGTAGTCTCAGCAATATCCTATCAATAGTATAATAATAATCTGACATCAATCAATTAGAACTATTTCTTCTTTTGATACCTAAAATAAATATTTTTTATTTCAGAAATTCATTTTTTTTCTTTTCTAATTTACTGATTCCATTGATTGATTTGCATCAGCTTTAACTCTTTTAAATGCTTCAGATTGAAGGCTTAGATTGCTTTCACATATCCATGGATCATTAAATGTACCTACAAATTCTTCAATATAATTAAATTTTTTCTATATCAAATCCAACCTTTTCACCTTAGAATTTGTTCATCATCATCACAACTATAAAGTAATGAACCAAATGCATTTCAACAGACTTTCCATACCTATTCAATAATCTCAAAAAGAACAAAAATAAGAAAAATAATGGTTCTTACTGTTGAACCATGATTATCTAGTGCAATCATTCCTGTTACAGCACATATTTTGGCTTAATCTTCATTAATATTATTTAATTCTCCACTACATAAAATAAAGAATAATCAAATAAAAAAAGAAACTAGTGGATGCTAACGAATACTAAGCATCTTAGCGGAATCCAGCATCCACCACAATCCGCTTTTTCTCCTTTGTAACACTGTATGTCAACTTTTCTCCCGATTATCTTTTATCTGTAAGAAAAGAAGAAATTTCAAACGCCCATATTAACATATGAAATAAATATGTTTTATTTTATCATCACGATCAGGTAAATATAGTTTATATAATAGAGGAACTTTTGACGAGAAAGAAGGCGTAAAAACCATGTCATAGAGGTGTTGAGGTGCTCGATGACGTTGGGCATCGACAAGCCAACCAAATGAAACAGCTATTATCTGTTCAAATGTTATATTTTTGTAATATTTTAGAATGAAAGCCACACAACGTTCAAGGTGAATAAGTTTATTTAAAAGCTTGAATATTGCTTTTGTTGTTTGTGGATTAGATGAATTCGAAGAAATATTCTATATTAAACAATAATAGAAAGATATTTAGAAATATTGAAAAAAAAAATGATATTAAACTACCTTTTCAAGTAATAATAAATCATTGTTGTTGAAGGTGAGAGTTAATGTTGTCACTTCACCACAAATAATGGTATGGGCTTTGAACGACCCAAGATAATTACATGATGAAGTCGTCTTAACTGGTTCAATATTAGGAGATTCAATAATACGACGTTCTTCTTTTATATGTTCGAATACGAAGCCGAGTATATCGAATTCAAGTTGTTGCGGTTTCATCGATACTAAAATTGTATTGTTTTGTTTTGTCCATCGATCTTTGTAATTTTCAATAAGATATTGTTCGAAATCATTAAATAACCTTTTGCTCTTCTCTGAATAACTTGAACGAAATATCCGGTTTATTGATACGAATGGTATTTCTAAATTGTGATCTGCACGAATCTTATTCATTATTGGTATAATAGCATTTGATTCGTAAATATTATCTAATTTTTGTACTAATTGGTCAAACATAGTTTAGAATTTTTCATCCAAATTGTTAAAACGTTTATTAAAATCAAGTTTTAAATTGTCCATCATTGATTGAATTGCCTTTATTACTGGAAAATTATAGAAAGATGATTTATTTTTAACGAAAAACATTAATTACATGTTGTTGGTTCATTTCGATTATCATTGGATGTTGAATCAATAAAAGATCTTTCTTCTTCATCAATACTTGGACGATTTTGTGTCATTTGAGAATCATCAATTGATGTTTCAATTGAGTGAATACTTTTTAAAGAACCAATATCATACGAATATGATTTATAATGTTGATTAATTGAAGAATCAGCCGAAAAGTTCATCGTGGTGGAACTCTTCTTTCTTCTTCGAGTGTAATTGACTAAAAAAGACAAAGTTTAAAATGTGATTTTCTTTAAAATTACGAATAAGATTTACTTGTGTAAATTGTTGATTAGAAAGAGTTTAATTTTTATTGTTTGGATTTTTTTCTTTTCATTTTTCTCTTTTTGACCTGGATTTGTTTTATTAGTATCTATTGTTGATGAAATCGATGATTGAAGAGTTTCAACAATTACTTCAGGAAGATCCGATGAATTTTTTGCCGAGAAATAAATCTTATCTTATTCTCTCGACTGTAGGAAGTGTCATGTGAAAAAAAGTGAAAGGAGTGTGCCTGTCTGTGGCAAGGTCAAAAAAAAAATCAAAGGTGAATTTTTCTATAAAGGTTGACGAAAGTAAATGGAGGTCGGAGAACCCAAATCAGAAGTTAGTTTCTCAGAATTTTGAGTTGAATTTTTCGGGTTCAGGAAATGGTTTTTTGAGAAAATAATGATATTTCCTGGACTGAAGGAAGGGTCATACGAAAAAAAGTGAAATGCGTTTGTGTGTTTGTGCAAGGTCAAAAAACACAAGATCGCAAAATCGGTCTTTCACCCTGACAAATCACCTAATCAAAGTTTCTCGACCTCGGGCTTTCATCCAATTAGATTCCTTCAAGCTGGAAAACAGCCAACCAAGGCTTTTTGACCTCGCTTTTTCGATCAATCAGCCTCCTTCAAGCCAGAAAATCAGTCATTCAGGGGTTTTCCACCTCGCGCTTTCTACTAATCAGATTCGTTGAAGCCAGAAAATCAGCCAATGAGGCTTTTTTCACATCGGGGATTCGACCAAGCAGGTGCCATAAGCCTGTGAATCGAGCCTATCAAAGGCTTTCGATCGGTTACTTTCGTTCAACTAGATTTTTCATGGCTCCTAACACAGCCGAGGCGATATGTGTCAAGAGATGCACCAATGTTATATGCTATCACTCGAATATGATATCATCCTTAAGTTATGTCACTCTGATTTCATACCATCTCTAGTACAATGTCATCCTTATATCCATATGTAATACTGCTCATAATGTTCAATACTTGCTTAATACTTGTTCAATACCATTGTAATTGTTGCTCTATACATTGTTCTTTTTCAATACTTGTGTAACCGCTGCGCTATACCCTCTATATATGCTCATTGTTCTATTTTGACGAGAAGAACAGACTGCAATAGAGAAGAAAACAGTAGAGGATATAAACGGTTGATGATAGTGACAGTCGAGAGTGAGATCAAGCAACGTAACACACATATGCGACTGATACGTGTAGTGGTGTAAGAATTTATATGTAAACAAGAGTAGTGTTGAAATAAAAGATCAAGTGATATCAACAAGTAATGGAAGTGTACCAAAATCAAAAGAAACAAAGACAAAGCCAAGAAGATAGTGATATATATCATCGAATTTTCGTTATAATGTATCGTAGTTCTCTCGACTGTAGAGAGTCATGTGAATAAAACTAAAAAGGATTTGTGTGTGTGTGTGTCTGTTTGTCGCGAGGTCAAAAAACATCGGAGAGAAACTTTATTCAGGCGTATCTTCAAAAGTTTCACGATAGGTAATTGAGATCGGGAAATCTTCGTCTGTAATCGGTTTTTCAAAATTTTGACTTGAATTTTTTGACATGAATTTTTCTGAAAAAAATTGGCTTCCACAAAAAGGCTTTTGCCTAGAAAGATAGCTTTGTAAAAATAAGCACGATTTTTTTTAACAAGCAACTTCTTGCTGTTTTAAGGTTTTTCGATCTTCTGATATAGCATTGTAGTTGGTCATCGACATCGAGGGACCTAACTGTAAAGTCAGTTTTCGGATTTCAGCTTTTCTTGATCAGAAAATAAACTAATTAGAAATGACGTTTTTCCTCGAATCGAGCAAGGATCATATGAAAGAAAATGAGTTTATGATTTTGCAATCATGAGGAGTGTAATGTATTCAAATATATTAGCGTGATTACAGGTACGATAATCTGCTGATAAGTAATTTTGAAACTCAAAGCCTCGTTTTAGTCGATCCGACATTAACATTATTTAACTCTACACTCGTTATATTTTATTCTGGGTAAGCTTTCAATTATTCACATATTTTTTCAGGAATTCTTACTCGTGTAATGTCTATATAGTCAGTGTAGCTTGAAAAAGCTAATATAAAAAGATATTTGTAAATGAGGTCACAACCTTTATGGTAAATGTAAAATAACCAAATATTGTTTTATTGTATTCAAATAATGGAGCGAATGGCTGTAAGTAACACCGACGAACGACTAATGACTCGTATCGCAAGCGCACTCTAATTTCACTTCAGAAAAGATCTATGTGAAAGCTAGGTTTATTGAGAATTCTGCACTAAGATTCTCATAATCAGGAATTCTAACAAAACTCTACCTTTTCAGCTAGACAATTAGGTTGAAGAAATAAGGAATAGTTAATAACAAAGTACTGGTTTGGAACTGCCTATGAAAGGTTCTCGTTTTGTAAATCTGATGATTTTTCGAAGTAAGAGCAGTCTGGAATTTGATACAGTGTAAAACAAAAAGCATGATCTCATGGGAGAATAGGATTACACGTGGCAGCGGCTAGCCGCTGCACTGAAAAGTTTCCTGAAGGAAGGTGTCAAGATGTTAGGATTCACCGGGAAAATGTTAGTGGTCTAGATTTGATGGGTTTCAATGGGACTCGGCGAGGCACAAAACTGAGAAATATTTTCAAATAGAGTATGAGAACGGTCTTTTTGTATGGATACAATATCTGAAGAGTACATTGCATGGAAAACATCATTCAAAGAATTTATATTCGCTCTTTCGGAAGCAAATTCGAAGGAAATAGAATGAGTTTTTCTATCGGTATGTCTTTGTTGGTTGGATGTGGGTGTGGGTGTGGGTG